CTTTGAAGACCAAGTGGCCCAGATTTCCAGCAGTGAAGCGTGACGACTCAAGAAACGAAAGCAGTTCATCTAAATTGACAACCGATGCAATAATATTAAAGCTGAATGCCTACACAGGCCTCGTTTTAACTCGAAACGACGACCATTTCAGACACACAACAGATCATCCAGGCTTCAAATGTTACAATTTAAAAACTGAAATTTTATAATCCGAAACGCTTTTGGCACGGCACGTTTTAAAAACTAATGCGAACGCATGCTCGCTGTTTCATCAAAAGAACACTTAATCTGTATTTCTGTGAAAAGATGAGACTAAGGACTTCGCTGTATTTAATTTCTTCGTGTTACTGTTCCCGAAAGATGAGATTCGAGATCCGGAACAATTTTACTTCGAAATCAAGCAACGCGCTAATTCTGTAACAACTGAAACGCGTAGCACATAACCTCAAACTTGGGCTTACCCTCGCAAAAACACGCCTCCACTTCTCTCATCGTTTCGATCGTGTTCTGTTACTGAGTGTCATTGTTTATCCGCTGCAAGATTAATGGCGCTAACGCAACATTATCCCATTGTAGGAGGTTAAAAGCTTGGCTACGTCGCTGGAATCCCATGACTGATTAATTGTGTAATCCAACAAAAACAAATCTGTAACCTGCATCGACAAAATGACAGCCATTAACTGGTGATAAATTGAATGTCGGGCGCGCCTTTTCAATTTCGTGGGGCTGAGGCAAACGACTGAAACGGAGAAGACATTTCAATGTCCGTGTCCAGCGACAAACCATTCAATTTTGCTACTTTGTTGTTACTGGATAAGAGAGCAGTGCCAACTCCCGAAACGTCGTGAGACGATGTCCGCTGATGCACAGGGCAGTCCTTAAGAATGACAGTTGCTCAGCTGGTGTAACCGTTCGTTAGGTCGCTCGGAGGACGGGGCGTGTGACGACCGAATTGGCTGTGGCCGACTGATGGCGCGCACGGCGACCAAGTGTAATGAACCCTTCTCTGGCTGCCAGCGGCTTAACAGAGAAAACAGCGACGTTTCGAGAACCGTCTTCGTCCTCGTTTGACTATTTGGGGGTGAAACGTGGTCTCTTCCTAAATGAAGGGCAAAGACTGAGGTTTTCTCGACAGAGATGTCTGGTTTGGTGTTTTGGGTTGTGACGTCGTATGGACTTGTACTCAGATTCAAACGATTTCTTGGAACATACTACCTCTATCTTCAGGTATGAACGTGGTCCACACGGCGTTACTACCCAGAAGATGAACATTTATGAAAAGAAAGATGGCGGAACACGGTTACTTCGTCGACCTCAGATGCTAATAAATTGACAGGCAAGAAGCCAGTGACCTCAAGAAAGTATCTCGTTTGTAACCTGGAAAGGATTAGTTACGCTGAACAAGAAACGTCTTCTTGTTCGATGGGGCAGATGTCAGGCCTCGTTCAAGAGTTAGAAAGGAACTCGCGATGCACGCGGGCTCAAGCATAATTTGTGGGGTTTCTTTCTCCTTCGAAGGATGTTAATGCAGCACACAAAGGTTCTCTTTGTAGTCCGAAATGTCTAACGCAAAGACGTAATTGTTCAGGAGTTGATTTCCAATTAAAAGTCAATGGCCGAGGCGCTTCATTTTAATACTAAATATCGACCAAGGCCAGCGGCTCTTGCAGATCAACGTGTGAGGTGAACATTTGACCCAAGGCTGAGGTAGCAGCGAGAGAATGGAGAAAAATACACAATAAAAACGTTCCCATTTTTATCCTAATACTGTCATGGTGACCAAATCGAGAAGTGGTGTGACGGGCAAGGCATCTGAGAAATGTGAAATGTACCCATTGAGTTATTAACAGTGTTCGGAAGGTCTCAGTAAGTGGATTTGGGCGAGTGCTTTTAAGTTGGCAGCAGCCACTTCGTCCTCGTCCTTCTAGTGAAAGTAAAGTAAGTTGAAAACTTACGTAAGTACTCCAAGAAATTAATTTTACATGGACATCCTGAAAGGTGATAAATAATCAATAGTGAAACATCTTTGAGCGATAATGACTTGCGGAACAGAACGGAGAATCGCGAGAACAGACGAGAATGCGATATAAGGCAACGAAAAATTAGATTCCTCAAAGAACTGGAATTTCTTGATCAGATGAGCATTTACCTGCTTCTGAATTAAGATACTCGAGCATGGAAAAAAGCCTCTAAAACAATGTATAGTCTTCAGAGATTTGTTAGGATCCCTTGGATGGGGGATCGGCCTACTGCAAGGCCTCTACTTACTACACAGAAAAACGTTTATGCCTCGAGCGAGAATCAAATCCACGACCCGTCAGTACTGAATTTCATGAAGACCCTGACATGCTCCGTGCGTGCAGTCAAAGAAGCCATGAACCAGTTGCAGCGGCTGGGGGACAGGGGAACAGTATCACATGTTACATGTGATGAGCTTCAACGGATTTACATCAAATTTGGTTCCACCAATGCACGAACCAGGGTAACTCAGTTAGCACAGTGTCTGACTACGAACTGGATGACCGGGGTGCGAACACCGGAGGAGCAAAGACTGGCCTTGGGCTCCACAGTCTCCTATCCAATAGCTAAGAGTTTTGGTACTTAGGCCTAGGAAGTAAAATGAACACATTCCCCTATGATCGATTTTAGTAATGGGCATATCTCCATATCCCCCGACAGTGAAACCTAATTAACTGCAGTTTTCCAACAGTTGAAATTACACATTATGATACCATAGAAATTCTGTAACAGAACACAGCCTAGCAGCTTGCAGGCCAATGAAGGCAGGTCCGAACACAGGACACTGACATTTATCGTAATGGCAAAATGACGTACTTTAAGTGCATATTGGTATGTTTAATTACCTCAAAATCTGGATGGTTTCCTACGGTCGACAGTCAGTGCGTTTTCTGTCCAAATGAAGACGGTAAATTATGTCAGCTGTATTAAATCCAGTTGTACTCACAGATGATATTCATGTGCTGAGTTGTCACATGATATCCGACAGAACACGTAAGCAATTCCCACTTCATCGCCCCTTTACTGAAAAATTGTCCGTACACACGACTTTCCATATACACACACGCACAATTCTTTCTTACTCACAGTTTGTTTCAGTAATCGTAATGACATATACGAGGGTTTCGACTTTGGCGCGAATTTACTACGCGCTGTCCTTAACCTCAAAATTACGTAACGAACATTCGAACATCTGAAGTAAAACAAACGACGACTTACACACGCAACCTTGACGATACGAACGCCACGCGTCGACTGCGGAATCAGGAAACAAGAGAAAGATGAGTGCAGTTCGTCCTATG